AAAACGTCACACTCTAATCTTCTACTGGTTGTGTTATAAGATGAATGTGACCGATTAGTCGAAACGTCACACTTAATCTTCTATAAAATGAAACGTCACACTCTAATCTTCTACTGGTTGTGTTATAAGATGAAGGTGACTGTGTAGTCATCAAAACGTCACACTCTAATCTTCTACTGGTTGTGTTATAAGATGTAGGTGACTGTGTAGTCATCAAAACGTCACACTCTAATCTTCTACTGGTTGTGTTATAAGATGAAGGTGCCCGTGTAGTCATCGAAACGTCACACTCTAATCTTCTACTGGTTGTGTTATAAGATGAAGGTGACCGTGTAGTCATCAAAACGTCACACTCTAATCTTCTACTGGTTGTGTTATAAGATGAAGGCGACCGTGTAGTCATCAAAACGTCACACTCTAATCTTCTACTGGTTGTGTTATAAGATGAAGGTGACCGTGTCAAAACGTCATCAAAACGTGAACGGTTCTCTAATCTTCTACTGGTTGTGTTTTTAAAAGTTATCGGAACGTCACACTCTAATCTCCTACTGGTTATATGATGAAGGTGACCGTGTAGTCATCAAAACGTCACACTCTAATCTTCTACTGGTTGTGTTATAAGAACATGTATTCTAATACATTGCTAACTTGAAGAAAAATGTCCTAAATAACGGAGAATTTATAGCTGAAAAAAATTACGGTGGTAACGACTAAAAAAAGATACCAAAATTTGAAAATAATCTTAGTCCAAACTCAAAATTAACAAGCAAATTCATGGAATTTATATCCCCCTGCTTTGCAAACACATTGTAAGTAAATATTTTAGAGGTTAGGAGTAAACATGTCATAATGCTATGCAGAATGATATATTCTCTTGAGCTATGATGTATTGCTTTAAAGCCAAAGAAAGATGTAAAGGATTATAGAAAGTAGATATTTTATTGGACATATCAAATATTAACCAAAAAAGTGAACTAATTGAAGAAAACTTGCATACTAGTGACTATAATGGTGCTAAGCAGATCCATGGTCATCAGCAGGTATAGTAGTCCACACAATATGATGATCAGTACAGGGGACTGGATAACATTTGTGGGACTTCAAGTTACATCTAAACCAGATTATATTTAGGAAAGCTGACCGACCAATGAAATGAAAGGATACCTAATTAGTATGCATAGATATTAACAGATGATGCTGATTGCTGAACTCAATCTTTTGTGCCCTAATATGCATCTGCTGACCAAGTTTCAGCTAAATCGGATTATATTTAGGGAAGTTCGAGCATGGAAATGAACCGACCAATGAAATCAAATGATACCTCATTAGTATGCATAATTATTAACAGATGACACTGAAAGTCAATCTCAGTCTTAATGACCCCAAGATACATCTGCTGACCAAGTTTCACCCAAATTGGGTGATATTTGCGGAAGTTAGAACACGGAAACGAAAGTGTGACAGACAAACAGAGAGACGGACGGACGGACGAACTTAAATTAATATCCCCCGTTACGGTGAAAGCAGGGGATAATAAAAGTAGGACAACATTTGAATGAAAGAAAGATTTTCACAGGGTCTCTAAAAAAGTGCAAGAAGAATGTGTTCCGAAACGACACCCGCCATGTAAATCTTGATCAATCCAAGTAAATAATGTCACGTTCTCAAAAAGAACAATGTATACAACAAGAAATTAAAAGAGACAATGGACATCAAAAACATCCAGCTACATACGTAAAAAAAAAGAATATTTTTCAATGAGATAATTATGGCGGAAGTACAACCCATAATGTTCACCACGCTGGATCCATAGATATCTAACCTAGATGCCGCACGGCCTATCCTTGACTGTTGACGCCGTGACTGTTGACGCAGCGTGTCTGCAGCGTCGCCATCTTGGGAAGGTGTTGCCGCTAGCACCAAACCATAGCGACAAAGTGGGCCTCATGCTAGAAGTCCCACTCAAAAATGTGTAGCTCGGTCACTAGCCCACGTATCAACACAAATAATACTTCATTTTAAAGCTGAGAAAAAGTTCTATGCTGTGGTCATCTCAATCAAAGTGGAGTTATCGGAAAACAAGGAACAATATACCCCGGGATCCCACTGGCTACTTTCTTGAATTTTGGTGCATTAGGAATGAGGAGATCACAGCAAAACAATGTAAGGTAATATACAATCGGATCTCGCTTACAGGCGATTCTAATGAAATGCAGCATGTTGTTTGCCTTTACATTGAACATTCACATACATGTGCAGAGAAGGTAAACCTATAATCAAATAACTGTTTGAAATTGATGCAACAACAATCACATCATTCATGACAATAATGAAAACAAGTACAGTGTGACCTTGCTTGAAGTGCAAAATGCTTTATCTTAAGTCCCGTGTTGCACCAGTCAAATACAAAGTATACACTCTCTTTATATGCAGCACTGATACCATAAACCAGTCAACCAATCATGTCTTCTGTCTACATGTTCCGTATTCATCACTAATAAGCCCAAGATAACTATGTATTGTACAAGTTATAGGCGAGTTGCTTATTTTGTGACCAAAATAAAACTACTGTCAAACACAAAAGGTAACTGTATTCAATCACACTACTTTGCACACATATCAGTGCACAACAGCATGTTACAGCAAAATAAAAAAAAACTACTCCTTACATCAGGTGAATGACCATCTCTTAGTATAGCTGCTCAAATACTTAATGATGATACTTCAAGAACCCTTTCATCATTACTTGAAACACTGCCTGTTACAATGACATCTACTACTCAGAATTATATACATGTTTACGAGTCAAAATGAATAGGCCCTATCATACAAAGGTAAATCGGATAAGGCACACATTCTGTAGAACATCAATTTGTATATGGTAGTAACTTGGCAGCTTGTACAATACCTTCCCAAGATGGCGGACCGCTAGACACGTCACAGGCGCCGTCGCGCGGCGTCTAGGATTAGATATCTATTTCTGGATCTCTTGACAGCCTATGTTATGAGTTTATCTGTCAGTTGACGACATCTTGCCCGAAATCGTTTTATTGGGAACAGGCTCTTGAATATTGAATCAACCGTGACATATAAACACCATAGGTTGGGGATGCAGGAATGTTGCTATCCAGAAATGGTTGATTCACAATAGGGACATTGAAACCATCACGCTTATGATACAGTTTGGTGGAAAGCTGTCTCGTTGCAGGAAAAGATCGAGGTAAGTGGATGATGTAGAAGAACCTGTTGTGTTCTTGATTTCAAATTCTGATGGGTATAAAGGGACTGTCAGGAAACCGGAAACATAGATATTTTAACTGGCCTTATATTATTTACTTAACTCCAAGAAAATCCGATCCATAATCACCTTGATTTACAACTGACATCTGTGGTAATATTGAATTATGTTCAGAAATATATATATATATAGATATATATAATTATATTATGTATTGACTGTTGTAAAGTATATCACTATTAATTCTATTAGATCTTATAGCCACGTGTCCTTACTGAAGTTTAAACGTATCTCAAATTTATTAGTTTACATATCATTAATGCTGAGTACTCTTATCATTTATGATATGAATATTGTGATACAATTTCCAGGGTCGATACTTTTTGATATGTTAATGAAATTATATATCGACTTTATGAAAAAGGCTTGTACTGGTATCATTTTTACTGATGCATGATCACAAATGTACGGAAGCGTATTCTGGCCAAATTGTGTTTTATTTTAACTCGAAATTTGGAGATAGCAACTCGAAATTTGGAGTTAGTAATCCGAAATTTTGAGATATTAACTCGAAATTTTGAGTTAGTAACCCGAAATTGTTATCTCGAAATTTCGGGTTCGACTTACTTACTCAAAATTTCGGATTAATAACTCAAAATTTCGCGTTGCTTTCTCGAAATTTCGGGTTATATCTCAAAATATCGGATTACTAACTCGATAACAACTCGAAATTTCGGGTTCGACTTACTAACTCAAAATTTCGAGTTGCTATCTCGAAATTTCGAGATAAAATAAAACACAACGTGGCCAGAATACGCTTCCGTACAAATGGTTAGTAAATGTGTGATTAATATATGTATACTTATATTACATTTCGCCTCGTCAAACATGCTTAATGAAGCCCGAGGATAGCCTCGTCATACATACATCGTGAAGCGTGAAGCGCGAAGCCGCGCGAGGATAGTAAGGATGCACGGTGGTGTTGTATTTGATTTCTGCCTCCCACAACAAGGTCATATTTAGGCAAGTCTTCCTATATCAAACTGGTGTTTGATGACTCATTGAACAACATATGGGATGCCCGTCGCATCCCGTTCAGAGCAATAGGAGGTAATATACTGTACACCTGATACTAAAGGTAGAGTGCCTGTCTTATACAAGAACACAGTGTCAACAACAACACCACCGTTTAGTTTCTAAATTTCTCGAAAAACATCAATCGTTGCCATGGAAATGCTAGTATAAGATCAAACAGGGGCAAAAGTATCAGATGAATCAGTAAATTTATGTAACGATGTTTATTGTTTGTATTTTTGGGTCCATATCTATCAACCGCTGGACTAAATGTAGAACACTGATATAGGTTGTGCGCGCTATCTGAATCTGTTTTCTTGTTTTTAACGAATAGAATTTGTTGACATGAAATAAACTATACAATTGGGTCACTCTGATTAAAATCATATATTTAAGTTCCACTTCAATGGTCTCCGTTCCAGTTAAATGATATTTGACTCGGGGTATCTGAGTGGCATTACGTATATAGGCTTAATCATATTGTAACTAGGTCATAGTGACATAAATATACTATCTTGATAAGATGAAAAATACTAACTTTTATATACTACACTGTCGAGGAATTGGGTAAACCATTCATGTCAGTCAGTCGTAGTTCACTAGATATATGGATAGGGTGATTACATCGATAAAAATTCAATTTTAGGGGCGGTGTTTATAGACTTTATAATGTTTTTGACCTGGTTGATCAAACTGTACTTCTTATCACCTGGTTGATCATGTACTTCTTATTGACCCTGTTGATCAAACTGTACTTCTTATTGACACTGTTGATCAACCTGTACTTCTTATTGACCCTGTTGATCATACTGTACTTCTTATTGACCCTGTTGATCATGTACTTCTTATTGGCCCTGTTGATCAAGCTGTACTTCCTATTGACCCTGTTGATCAAACTGTACTTCTTATTGACCCTGTTGATCATACTGTACTTCTTATTGACCCGGTTGATCAGATACTTCTTATTGACCCTGTTGATCAAACTGTACTTCTTATTGGCCCTGTTGATCAAGCTGTACTTCTTATTGACCCTGTTGATCAAGCTGTACTTCTTATTGACCCTGTTGATCATACTGTACTTCTTATTGACCCGGTTGATCAGGTACTTCTTATTGACCCTGTTGATCAAACTGTACTTCTTATTGACCCTGTTGATCATACTGTACTTCTTATTGACCCGGTTGATCAGGTACTTCTTATTGACCCGGTTGATCATACTGTACTTCTTATTGACCCTGTTGATCATACTGTACTTCTTATTGACCCTGTTGATCAAACTGTACTTCTTATTGACCCTGTTGATCATACTGTACTTCTTATTGACACTGTTGATCATACTGTACTTCTTATTGTTGATCATGTACTTCTTATTGACCCTGTTGATCAAACTGTACTTCTTATTGGCCCTGTTGATCAAACTGTACTTCTTATTGACCCTGTTGATGAAGCGGTACTTCTTATTGACTCTGTTGATCATACTGTACTTCTTATTGGCCCTGTTGATCAAGCTGTACTTCTTATTGACACTGTTGATCATACTGTACTTCTTATTTACCCTGTTGATCATACTTTTACTTCTTATTGACACTGTTGATCATACTTTACTTCTTATTGACCCTGTTGATCATACTGTACTTCTTATTGACCCTGTTGATCAAACTGTACTTCTTATTGACTCTGTTGATTAAACTGTACTTCTTATTGACCCTGTTGATCAAACTGTACTTCTTATTGACTCTGTTGATTAAACTGTACTTCTTATTGACCCTGTTGATCATGGACTTCTTATTGACCCTGTTGATCATACTGTACTTCTTATTGACCCTGTTGATCAAACTGTACTTCTTATTGACCCTGTTAATCAAACTGTACTTCTTATTGACTCTGTTGATTAAACTGTACTTCTTATTGACCCTGTTGATCATACTTTACTTCTTATTGGCCCTGTTGATCATACTTTACTTCTTATTGACCCTGTTGATCAAACTGTACTTCTTATTGGCCCTGTTGATCAAGCTGTACTTCTTATTAACCCTGTTGATCAAGCTGTACTTCTTATTAACCCTGTTGATCATACTGTACTTCTTATTGACCCTGTTGATCATACTTTACTTCTTACTGACCCGGTTGATCATACTGTACTTCTTATTGACCCTGTTGATCATACTGTACTTCTTATTGACCCTGTTGATCAAACTGTACTTCTTATTGACACTGTTGAGCATACTGTACTTCTTATTTACACTGTTGAGCATACTGTACTTCTTATTGACCTCTTATTGAGCTCTGGCTCCAGAATACTTAAAACTAACTTCGTATCTTGTAATGATGTGTATCATTAAAAGTTGAGACCAACAACACAAGTATCCGACTAACTATATTTGTGTATACACATTTTGTCTCTGTACTGTTATGTAGATGTGAGTAACTCTGTGGTAAGTATATATACTTACCATATATAGTACTTTCAAATCTATGTTAATCAAAATAAGCACTGTTTTCGTGTTAGATACTTGGTAAGATTAAGTGTTAAATAAGTACTTTACTAAACATTTAACTCTCGTTAAGTTTTGTTATTATTGTATTAATGTGTTGAGGGATAAATCATGAGTGCTTCGGTTGGATATTTCACTAGGGATATATTGATTATTTAAACAACTGCGGTAATTCGTGTCGTTTTATCCTTGGGGAAACCCAGATAAAATATTATCTGAAAGAGAGGACGAAATAATTTACAAATACTTATCGCGATTTAACCGACATGTCATTTTATTTCATCAAAATATTCAAAGGAGTGGATTTTTAACACGTGATCTCTGATAATGATAATGACGTAACACAGTCGTATATAAGGGATTTTGCGTCGTACCAGGGCTCATAATACATACGGCCAAAGGATTACAAGCAACGGTATGTATATATTAATATTATTCTGACTGAAAATAGTTGTTTCCGGATATAGCATTACCTTGCGAAAAACACTTCACTATTTTCCCCGTAATGGACCGTTCTATCTTTAAGGTGATTTTTTACGATACTTTTTTTTTATTTTTGCAAATTTGTGATATCATTAGGTTATCATGCTTTCTAAAGATTCTTTTTAACAGATATATAGAGTGTCTGAAGTTAAAAAATATTGATGTCATGTTCCAAACACCAAAGTCCCCCCTTGTTTCACTTACGTCCCCCCTTCCCTTAAAACATAGACGCACCCACACCGTTTGGCCAATGAAAATGCTCAGAACCGGAGGTGTGTCTAATGCAGTCAGCTTGCAAAGAAAACACAAGTTCTTTGACGTTACGTTTCTGCCACGGGTGTACGCATACGTGTATGAACAGAGAGATCCTGAGATCTACAAAGGAAAACGGCAAGTTTGGGTTTCACAATACTCATATTTCAGACAATTAACACACACAGTGTCATACACTCTCTTTGTACACTACGGATGGCAACAACATTCATCGATTTGTCATGTTACATCGTCTTTCTCTATAGGGGTACAGGTCGTCTGTGACTTATTTTCATCTTTGAGACACTTAATTTAGAAGTCGTAGATCTAATAGATAGGGAAGTATGTATTAGAATTAAAACTGTATTTGAAAAGGACACTATTACAGCCAGTAGATGATAAAGCCTTGTTCACTCGACCGTGAAGTATTTTCGGCCTCGTGTATTAAGTCTTTGGCTTCTTGAGCATATTTTATTTAAAATGTATGTAGGTCGGATCGATTTTTGTCCAGATATCACGCATGACTGATTATGACACTGTCAACCTGTTACCTATCTGTGAGATCATTGTTGCCTCGACTTACCTAACGTTTGAATATACCAAGAAGAATCGCTGCTTACATATAATTATCTGGTCACCATCTGAACAAAACATGGGATTTGTCACTCCAAAACAGATATGTCGTGTGCCTCAGTTAATATACATATTTTTTATTTTAACAGGTGATTCCATAGCACCATTTCTAGAAATTTTTGATGAGTTCAATTATTTAGAAGTATAGTGGATTTTCAGAATTTCAGTGATTCCATTTGGAAAAATAAGTCCTTGACTCAAATATCTTTGTCCCAAAATAACCTATCTTTCTATGTTTGTTATGACAGATATCTTTCCTTGGTTTTGTTATTTGGTCAATCAAAAGCTGTCCGATCAGAATACTATAAAAATAAAATGCATATATTATAATTGTTTCTGAGTTGACTATGTCAGATAATTTAATTGATCTTAATCTAATTAGTATCATCAGGCTAATCAACCAGATTATCTGGGTTTGATTCTGATAAAGGTGTTGGAATCTGGTACAGATCCAGAATTGCTGGTTAGAAGGGACGCACATTTTTACCAGCTGCCTCCATTTTTACACTTTTTTGGTACATTTTATATCGTTCAAGCTTCAAGTTGGACAAGTGATTATGGTTGCATCATAAATAAGACCAATCATTAGAAAATGAAACTAGAATATAAACTACAATAATATTACAGTAATTTACCAATAAAAAGCACATTTACTTGCCAACAGTTACAAAGGTCAACTTTTCAAGGTCTGATTTACGGCATAGTCCGGATTTTTTGCGAATACAAATAATTAAGGCCCACAATTGAGTTATTCAATGTGATTTGAAGTGTTGTAAGACTTAAGAGCTCTACAAAGAAGTGTGATGATGGAATTTCAGTTCATAAATCTTGAAAATAATGCCCCCCCCCACCCCTTCTGCATCCGCCTATGGCAGTCATTACTGACATCTTAGCATCTACGTGTAGAGGGTTAATTTTTTCTGGATGTAATCATAGAACAATACTAACCGCTTCTTCCTGACCTGACTGGAGAAAATTTCAACTCATCCGGAAAGAATAAGATTGTTAAATAAAATTTCCGAGATTTGAGAAGCTAAAAATGATGACTTACACTTTGAAATGATTGTACCTTTTATGAAATGGTGATTTATTGATTTTGTTTTCTGTTTTTAGAACTGCTAAGTCCGACAAGTAATTACAAGCTGAAGGGAGACTTTGTAGCCACATCCTAACAAATATGTCCAGTAGCACTCCTAATGCTGAGAGTCCGTTCAGACAATGGAAGCGTCCAGACCACCCAAGTACTTGTACTTACCATGATGCTAAGTCAATGAAGGAGTCGCCACATAGACACGTACCTCTGTAGGTAGAATGTGACAAGATCATCATGTAACAGTAAACAGTCAATTAGATCAAATTTTGTATTTCGTAAAAATAATACGTTACAAGTAGGGCTTGTCCCTGCTGCGCCATTACATAAAAGGAAACAAAATTTGAAATGTCTTGACAATATGCTTTTCTTGGTCAAGATATCACACTGCATATGTTTTTAGTTGTTACCATCAAATTGAAAATTTTCCTCAATGTGTGTTGACAGTGCCCCGCGTCCCAAGCTTATGTCTACAGTGCTGGAAAACATTGGCAATACTCCACTAATCCAGATCAACAGAATTGCACAGAAGGAGGGCCTCAAATGTCGTCTTTGTAAGCTAATATGTACAACAAAATACATGATAGATTTTGAGCTGTTTATATAAAATTATAAGATCGAATGGCATTGCCTGCTTGACCAGATGAGTTTTGCATGGGTCTGCTGGTATCTGCCCACAGTAAGACCCATTACACATTTCTTCAACGATAATTGATATAAGCTGTGAGCTTGTTTCTCAGTTATTAAAAGGGGAAATAGCAAGATTGATTTGAAGGAAAATTGGTGACTTGGTTCTAATGTGGAATTTTGTACTTGGTTACTGTTATTGTTAAATGTTACGAAATACATCATATCAATGTACAAGAAAAATTACAAATGATGGTAATTTTCTGTCAATTCGGTTTTCTTAATGAGCAATTATACAAACCAATTAAAATTGTGTACAAATTTTAAGGAGATAACTAAAACACTTCCTGAAAATTTTGTTTTTTTTCAAAAATTGAATTTTGATATATGATTATTTCTGGACCATGAAATAGCGATTAATAATTTTAGCAACGATTAACATCAAGAGCTTAGAGTAAACTCATAAAAAATTAATTCTGAGTGTATGTTTACATTTGCATTTTACATCAATGATTAATTAGTACATAATGTTTTCCCCCAAAACATCCAAAAGTTTTAATTTCAATACTGTTACATGTAATTTCAGTATTTTTGGTAAACTTCATTTAGACCAGCATGGAGTGTAATTCAATATGTTAATGTCTTGTTATCATACAGTTGGAAAATGTGAGTTTTTTAACGCGGGAGGTAGTGTAAAGGATCGCATAGGACTGAGAATGGTGGAGGACGCTGAAGCCAAGGGGATCCTGAAACAGGGAGATGTCCTGATAGAGCCGACATCTGGAAATACAGGTAATTATTTACAGGAAGTGAAGTTGTCTATCTCAAATAACTTTTAGTAAAGGCCTGGCTGAATGATAACAGGATTTTGATAACTTGTAGGTGTCAGTCTGGCTGTAAACATGATTTTGATAACTTGTAGGTATCGGTCTGGCTGTAAACATGATTTTGATCATTTGTAGGTATTGGCCTTGCCCTGGCTGCAGCTGTCAAGGGGTACCGCTGTATAATTGTTATGCCAGAAAAGATGAGTATGGAGAAGGTAAGACAAAACCAACCAAAACGGTTAAATAGGTTGTCTTTTATCTGTATAGAAATCCTTCTTTTTAATAACTATCGCATAACTACCCTGCTATCTGCGTTATATAACACCCAATACATACACGTCTGATATTACACATGTAATATGACCTAGCAGAGATTTGATTGGCAGATTGCTCCCGTTGTCTCTATCGTAACATTATAGCTGGACGGTGTCATATGTAACTGGATATTAAGTAAAAATATGGCTGGTTTAAAGGTCATTTTAGTCTAATGAAATACTGTTTCCACAAATAGTATAAAAGTTTTGGGATAAATAGAATCTTATATTTTTTCCATTTCATATAAGATTTATGAAACTCATTAGAAGTTTTTCATCTAACCTCAACAGACAACAGGTAAAGTGAAAAATTTAAAGACATATAAATATCATATGATTGGAACGTCATGTTAGATCATGTGTTTATCAGCGAAACTTTCGCCTCGGTTTCAAACTGATTAATGACACAATTAAAAGGGAAAAATAACTTTTAGTTCAAATATAAAATTCAAGACAGTTTTAAATGTATACAAATCTCCAGTACAGAACAGTGGAGCACAAACCCAGGTTTACATTAGTGGTAGTGAGATAACACAGAAAAGGACAATAAAAACCTCTGTACCTAGTATCACTACATCAACTACATCATTCTAATCTGCTTCACAATTCTAACGGTTGCTATGGTTATCTGAGCGATGTTTTGTGTAATTTGAATTTTGCTGTTTTCACATGAACTGTTCTCTTTATATTGTAGGTAGATGTACTGAGGGCTCTAGGAGCCGAGATTGTGAGAACACCCACATCAGCAGCCTTCGATTCTCCCGAATCTCACATCGGGGTTGCTAAGCGACTGATGGAAGAGATTCCTAACTCACACATCCTGGATCAGGTAAGAAACACGGTCAGACAAGGGAACATACCTGATATATCACTATATCAAAGGTCATTTGATTCGACCTGAAACAGACATTGAGTTGGATTGAAGTTGACAGACGCATCACTCAGTTTGGGTCTCCTTACCATTTTGGCATTTGATGGGTTGTTAAAAATATAATGAATTATTTTGATTTTGCTGATTTCGGGGAAGAAGTGGGGATGTGAAAGGGATGCATGTTACACAGAATAAGACTTATCAGCCATCCTGTACTGGTAACAAACTAAAGCTGTTTTTATTTATGAATAATTTAAACTTGTTTGATTGTGAATGAAAATGAAATCAGATACATTTTCCATTTCAAAACCAATACAGACATTGATAGTCAAGAATGACAAGACTAGAAAAAACAGAGTGAAAATATGTCTTCTCTAAACCCAGCTGATATTTATTAAACCTTTTTATTTTATTTCTACAGTACAGCAACCCCAGCAATCCACTGGCCCACTTTGATGGTACAGGAGAGGAGATTTTGAATTCCCTTGATGGTATGTCCTAGTCTAGATGTTATTTTAGTAACTGACGCAGTCTGTACAGCTGTTTTTTTATTGTAAATCCCTGGTGAACTACCTCTGTGGCTTGCTTGAACTAAACCAGGATCTGGCCTAACTTTACTTTAGCAAAGGTAGTTGTATGTTAATACTTAAATAGTCACCAACAGCTGACAAAAGAAAGATCAGTGCACTTTTGTGTTTGTAAAGGAAAATGTCATGAAATTTAGTGTTTAAAAAGGAAACGTCATGAATTTTTAGCTCTTTAAAAGGAAATGTCATGAACTTTTAGCACTTTAAAAGGAAAATGTCATGAACCTTCAGTGTTTTAAAAGGAAAATGTCATGAACCTTAGTGTTTTAAAAGGAAAATGTTATGAACCTTTAGTGTTTTAAAAGGAAAATGTTATGAACCTTTAGTGTTTTAAAAATAAATGTCATGAACCTTAGTGTTTCAAAACGAAATGTCATGATTGACATACCAAGTGATTCAGAAAGTAAGTCAATGTTGTCTCACAAAGTTATGACATAGGTTTCTGATGTGTCAAAACAGGCCAGCTGTGTGATGATTCATTGCAAGTTCGTTTAAAGTTGAAGATACATAATAGGGTAAATAGTCCGTTTTACACTGATGGTTCTCATACATATGACATGAAGTGAAATCTACTCAGGAATATCTTCTTTAAATCTGAGTGGTACCTTTACACGACATTTGATGTAGAGTGACGTCATAATCAAATTGACATCATATCCACTTTTTTATGACATGCAATCAAAAAGGGAGGGAAATTAAAAATGGAAATAGATAAAGTATCTACATGAATGAGGTACTTGAATATCATCCCTCGACTGAAATAACTTTACCTCCAGCATATACAGGTAACAGATTCTAACATTCTGGTTTGTTTTGTGACTCAGACAAAGTAGACATGGTTGTGATGGGCACAGGAACAGGTGGGACCCTCACAGGTATCGCAAGGAAAATCAAGTCTCGCTGTCCTAACTGTAAGGTAGGTGCTTTTCTGGTGTGTCGCTGTAATATACAGTCTTTTATCATCAATTTCATGAACATTCTTGACATTTGTTTTTATTTCTGTCCTGTCATTGACATTGAACTTTATCTCGGTCAGGTTTTCAGATTTCTGACCTTCCTGTTTTCGTTTTGTGTTGCCTGCAGAGCTGGCAGACACTTAGGGATCACTTTGTCCGTCATCACGCATTGGCGTCCGTTCGAAAGTTTTCCGGCCTTTTTAGGTCATCTGACCCGAAGGGTCCGATGACCTATAGTCATCATGCTTCGTCCGTCGTCGTCCGCCGTGCGCCCTGTGCGCCGTGCGCCGTGCGCCGTCCGTAAACTTTTCATTCAAACGACTTCTTCTCAAATACTAGAAGGTCTAGGGGGCTAATACTTGGCACAGAGGATACTGGCATGGAGCTCTACCAAGTTTGTTCAAATGAATGACATTGACCCACTTTAAAGGTCACAGGGGTCAAATATGTTAAAATCTTTAAACAACTTCTTCTCATTAACCAAAAGGCTCAGAGTGTAGATATTGGGCCTGTGACATGCTGGGATAAAGGATTACCAAGTTTGTTCAAATGAATGACCTTGACCCACTTTAAAGGTCACAGGGGTCAAATATGTTAAAATCTTTAAACAACTTCTTCTCAATAACCAAAAGGCTCAGATTGCTGATATTGTGCCTGTGGCATGCTGGGATGAAGGGCTATCAAGTTTGTTTAAATGAATGACCTTGAACAACTTTCAAGGTCACAGGGGTCAAATATGTCAAAATCTTTAAATAACTTCTTCTCAAATACTAGAAGGCCTAGGGGGCTAATACTTGGCCCATAGCATGCTGGCATGGAGCCCTACAAAGTTTGTTCAAATGAATGACCTTGGCCCACTTTCAAGGTCACAGGGGTCAAATATGTTAAAATATACAAAGGACTTCATCTCAATAAGCAAAAGTCTATGAGTGCCGATATTGGGTCTGTAGCATGCTGGGAGGAAAGGCTACCAAGTTTATTTAAATGAATGACCTTGAACAACTTTCAAGGTCGCAGGGGTCAAATATGTCAAAATCTTTAAATAACTTCTTCTCAAATACTAGAAGGCCTAGGGGGCTAATACTTGGCCCATAGCATGCTGGCATGGAGCCCTACAAAGTTTGTTCAAATGAATGACCTTGGCCCACTTTCAAGGTCACAGGGGTCAAATATGTTAAAATATACAAAGGACTTCATCTCAATAAGCAAAAGTCTATGAGTGCCGATATTGGGTCTGTAGCATGCTGGGAGGAAAGGCTACCAAGTTTATTTAAATGAATGACCTTGAACAACTTTCAAGGTCGCAGGGGTCAAATATGTCAAAATCTTTAAATAACTTCTTCTCAAATACTAGAAGGCCTAGGGGGCTAATACTTGGCCCATAGCATGCTGGCATGGAGCCCTACAAAGTTTGTTCAAATGAATGACCTTGGCCCACTTTCAAGGTCACAGGGGTCAAATATGTTAAAATATACAAAGGACTTCATCTCAATAAGCAAAAGTCTATGAGTGCCGATATTGGGTCTGTAGCATGCTGGGAGGAAAGGCTACCAAGTTTATTCAAATGAATGACCTTGAACAACTTTCAAGGTCACAGGGGTCAAATATGTTAAAATATACAAACGACTTCTTCTCAACAAGCAAAAGTCCATGAGTGCTGATATTGGGCCTGTAAGATGCTTGGAGAGGCAACCAAGTTTGTTCAAATGAATGACCTCAACCCACTTTCTAGGTTTGGCTTGCTTTTTGTCAGATGACCGTTAAGGCCCATGGGCCTCTTGTTTCAGTAATGCTTTGGGTTATCGAAATGAAATTGGCATATGGCTTCTTGATGCAAGGGTACAGATTAAATTGGATTCCCGGCTGTCTGTAACCCTTCTTGGCAGAGTAATTCCCCTTTGAACTTGTTTTCCAGACTTTTTGGCTTATGCTTTGAGTTATCGAAATAAAATTTGGTATATGGCTTCTTGATGCAAGGGTACAGATTAAGTTTGATTCCTGGCTGTCTGTGACCCTTTTTGGCAGAGTTATGCCCCTTTCAACTTAGAAAATTCTCTGGGAATATTGTTTTCCAGACTTTTTTAGGTTATCCTTTAAGTTATAGAAATAAAATTTGGTATTACAACTTTATGGTTGATCGTTGCACATCCAGTTCAATTTCTGGGTGACCGTGACACTTTATGAAGGCAACACATACAGTTCCGAGGAACTCTTGTTATCTATATCTGGCTCAAGTCATTTAATTCCTGACCTTGACTGATATTTTTATCTCAGTCAGGTTGTTTGTATTTCTGACCTTGACTGATATCTTTATCTCAGTCAGGTTGTTATATTTTTGACCTTGACTGATATCTTTATCTCAGTCAGGTTGTTATATATCTGACCTTGAATGTAATTTTTATCTCAGTCAGGTTGTTATATTTCTGACCTTGAATGTTATTTTTATCTGAGTTAGGTCATTATCACCTGTCTAACAAAGATTGGCATACTATATACAAACAGGTTCCATACTATGGAGCACTTTCAGCTTCAATGTTTTCAAGGTCACGATGAAAACAAATAGTCTGTCACTGATTTCAGCTGTTCTGGTGTATATTTCCAAAACTGACAAAGATAATGCCATGAAACTTTCTACATACATCTAGCAATCTAGTAGTGTCTTTTCAATATGGGTCAGTATTCAGTTTCAATATTTTCATAGTTACCATGGAAACAAAAATCACAGCATTTCTGGTGTATATCTCAAAACTGTTCTCCCTGTGAAACTTTCTACATGTAACAATCCAGCAGTCTATGTTTGTGTCTTCTACTATGGAAGAGTTTCAAGGTTAGCTATTTCTTTGGTTACCATGGCAACAAATAGTCATGATAACTGATTTCAGAATTTCACTGTTTTCAGTTTTGGTATTCCTTTCATTCCTATGGAAACATATAGTCTTATTCACTGACTCCATATCCTTGAAAGAACTTAATTAATACGGCTGTTATCACCTCTTCTGTTGATTCCTTCATCTTGACCATTGCCTCTTAAACATTCTACGATATAATGTCGGTGAGGTATCTCACCGTGACTAGGCGCTCTTGGTCAGGGATCTGAACGACTTCGTCCCTGTCGGTGCTGATCTTCATGTTTCCACCTTGTATATATATATATCAGATAATCGGAGTTGACCCAGAAGGATCTATACTGGCTGAGCCCGAGGAACTCAACAAGACGGACGTGACGTCGTATGAGGTAGAGGGCACTGGGTACGACTTCATACCAACTGTCTGTGACCGTTTGGTAAGTATTATCAGTCCACATCCATCAGGTTGTGGACTTTTCAATTATCTTCAGAAATAATGGATGGATCGTTCTCAAACTTCATACGTTTGTTCTCATTGGTCTCTAGATGTGCACAATTCATTTTTGGTCTATGAACAGGTCATTACTGACCTGTATCCCTTAAACATTCTATAGTGTTCTCACCTGAAGAGGTGGCCAAATGTGTCGTTGGATGTATGGCTCCTAGTGGGGTTAAACATGTTTTTTAAATCTTGACAATAGTGGCTCAGAATTTGCGAAAGTAAGTCCGCACAAACTTGTTATATAACTGAAAGTCTGACAGTTAGTAGCGGAAAAAGAATGTTAGTTTACACTATAATGTATCAGGTTTGAAAGTAATTGTCTTTTTTTTTCCAGTTGGTAGACAAATGGTACAAAACCCGAGACAAAGAAACTTTTACAATGTCGAGACGTCTCATCAGGGAGGAAGGACTTCTCTGTGGTAAGTATATATCAGGGAGGAGGGACTTCTCTGTGGTAAGTATATACAATGTCGAGACGTCTTATCAGGGAGGAGGGACTTCTCTGTGGTAAGTATATATATACAATGTCAGGACGTCTCATCAGAGAGGAGGGACTTCTCTGTGGTAAGTATATACAATGTCAGGACGTCTCATCAGAGAGGAGGGACCTCTCCACTTCTTTGCATTGAATTGAAATGAAAGTGGTCAGGTATATTAATAGGCACATCTTTAAGTAAACAAGGTTATGTATAATAATATCTAGAATCAAAATATTGTTTTAGGACAGACTTGCGGAGAACATCACTGATTGTAGTACTGTTGTTTAAATATTGTACAGGTGGTAGTTCTGGGGCCGCAATGTACACAGCCATCAAGGCCATCAAAGACTTTGGACTGAAAGAAGGACAGACCTGTGTGGCAGTCCTCCCTGACTCCATCCGTAACTACATGTAATACATTTTTCTTCAGTTCATTAGATTAATTTGAGTTACAGTTTTGTATTGATAAACAGATTTCTCTCCCTTATAATACAAGTATACTTCTAAGCATGAAAGAAAATATATTCAAAAGAAAATTAGTTTTTTTAAATTTCATTTATCACTCTGGTTTAATACCATAAAAACAAAAATGATTCACATCTATTGTAGCTTAACCCCACCTCATGCTACACTTTTCATCCCCTGCCTCATGCCACACGTTTCATCCCCTGTCTCATGCTACACTTTTCATCCCCTGCCTCATGCCACACGTTTCATTCCCCGCCTCATGCTGCACTTTTCATCCCCCGCCTCATGCTACACTTTTCATCCTCCGCCTCATGCTACACTTTTCATCCCCCGCCTCATGCTACACTTTCATCCCCTGTCTCATGCTACACTTTTCATTCCCCGTCTCATACTACACTTTTCATCCCCCGCCTCATGCTACACTTTTCATCCCCCGCCTCATGCTATACTTTTCATCCCCCACCTCATGCTTCACTTTTCATCCCCCCCTCATCATACACTTTTCATCCCCCACCTCATGCTACACTTTTCATCCCCCCCTCATCATGCACTTTTCATCCCCCACCTCCCAAGGGATGTGAAAGCCTTCCACTCAAATTTTGTCTTTAAAAGTTTATTTTCTGAGGGTAAAACTGACGATAAATAAAGGTGTTTTTTGATTGGTTGTAGGACCAAGTTCCTCAGTGATGATTGGATGAGCCAAAGAGATTTCTTGGAGAATGAGAAAAAAGTCACACCCTCAGATGGCAAGTAAGTGTTACATGACAAAGGATGTCACTGATACATAAAGCTTGTATTTGTTACATATTTGTCTTTTAACTTTGCATACCAATATTGTCCATATTAATCGTGAGTTATTGATAAACGTTGCTTAAGTTCTGAATACTAAATGTTTTTCCATTTGCAAGGAATTTTGGCTTCTATTAAGGAAGGTTTGCACAGGATACATTTATGAAGTTTTTCATTAACTGAAAATCACTTTTAATGCTATATAAATAAAGTCGAGTTAAAACATTTGGAATAATTTTCATCCTTTTTACTTAAAATTTAACATTCGGTTTTAAATGTACAGTGTCTTTATATCTTTAAGATTTTTAAATGCTCTGATCGTGGTATTAGGAGTTGAGTATTAAAACATGCGTATAATTTTTAGAATTTTTTTTTTGAAATGTGATGCACATTGTAAACAAGAACAAGGTATTTTCATGGAAGGTGATGCTTACACTCGGGCACAAAAACAGGCAGATGCTTTTAAAAAGATAAAAATGCAAAAAAAAAAAAAAAAAAAAAAAAATCTCACTATATTTGGTGTGTTGAGTTTCATCTCAATGAATTTTGGAACGCTGTATGCTAGAACTGCAAGTATCCCAAACACTGCAAATATTGAAGTTTTGAAATTTTGCATAATGTTATAGTTTTATTGTCTAGTGGATATGAAATAAGGTATACAGGACAAATTATAGGTGTTTTCTGATGTGGGACAGTCTTAACCCACAAATGATTGGTACAAATTAGCGTTGAAATTTGTATCTTTTCTCTCTTAATATAGTTGTATGTAAGATACATCAGGGACGAGCCACTAAGAGAACTTTTGATCAGATCTTAAATTCTGACATTATTTCTTGTAAGATGCTAGATATTTTTCCAATATAAATTGTGACTTGATTGTTCACTTTTTGAAGTGTTTTTCTCATATTATACAAAGATTACTACCTGAATACATCCTGGGCGTTAGTTGTTAACAAGGGAGATAACTTTAATATTTAAAACATGAAAAATCAGTAAAATTGGAAATAAAAAGCAAAGAAAATGGTGACTTTACATATAAAATCTTAAGGGTTTGATCAGTTAAGAAGTCAAAGACACTAGGGTTACCTGGCCTGATACTGGCTTGTTATGTATATACTCTATATCTACACGTGATTGTACTCCGTTTCTGTCTGTGCTAGCCATTGCTTCATTGTCTGTCTGGGCAATTAGTTGTTTGGGTGTTTGTTTTTTAACATTTTTTGCAATTGATACTGTACAAAGAAAAGGATGTAAATATTATTTCAAGAAAAGAAGGTGAATTTTGTACTTTTAAAAAGAAAAGAAGGTAAATTTTGTACAATTACAAAGAAAAGAAGGTAAATTTTGTACAATTACAAAGAAAAGAAGGTAAATTTTGTACAATTACAAAGAAAAGAAGGTAAATTTTGTACTTTTACAAAGAAAAGAAGTTAAATTTTGTACAATTGCAAAGAAAAGAAGTTAAATTTGGCACAATTACAAAGAAAATAAGGTAAATTTTGTACAATTACAAAGAAAAGAAGTTAAATTTGGCACAATTACAAAGAAAATAAGGTAAATTTGGCACAATTACAAAGAAAATAAGGTAAATTTGGCACAATTACAAAGAAAAGAAGGTAAATTTTGTACAATTACAAAGAAATGAAGGTAAATTTTGTACAATTACAAAGAAAAGAAGGTAAATTTGGCACAATTACAAAGAAAAGAAGTTAAATTTTGTACAATTACAAAGAAAAGAAGGTAAATTTTGTACAATTACAAAGAAAAGAAGTTAAATTTTGTACAATTACAAAGAAAAGAAGGTAAATTTTGTACAATTACAAAGAAAAGAAGTTAAATTTTGTACAATTACAAAGAAAAGAAGTTAAATTTTGTACAATTACAAAGAAAAGAAGTTAAATTTTGTACAATTACAAAGAAAAGAAGGTAAATTTTGTACAATTACAAAGAAAAGAAGGTAAATTTTGTACAATTACAAAGAAAAGAAGTTAAATTTTGTAAAATTACAAAGAATAGAAGATAAATTTTGTACAATTACAAAGAATAGAAGATAAATTTTGTAAAATTACAAAGAATAGAAGATAAATTTTGTACAATTACAAAGAATAGAAGATAAATTTTGTACAATTACAAAGAAAAGAAGTTAAATTTTGTACAATTACAAAGAAAAGAAGTTAAATTTTTACAATTACAAAGAAAAGAAGTTAAATTTTGTACAATTACAAAGAAAAGAAGCAATTACAAAGAAAAGAAGTTAAATTTTGTACAATTACAAAGAAAAGAAGTTAAATACAATTCAAAGAAAAGAAGTTAAATTTTGTACAATTACAAAAAAAAGAAGGTAAATTTTGTACAATTACAAAGAAAAGAAGGTAAATTTTGTACAATTACAAAGAAAAGAAGTTAAATTTTTACAATTACAAAGAAAAGAAGTTAAATTTTGTACAATTACAAAGAAAAGAAGTTAAATTTTGTACAATTACAAAGAAAAGAAGTTAAATTTTGTACAATTACAAAGAAAAGAAGTTAAATTTTGTACAATTACAAAGAAAAGAAGTTAAATTTTGTACAATTGTAAATTTTGTACAATTACAAAGAAAAGAAGGTAAATTTTGTACAATTACAAAGAAAAGAAGTTAAATTTTGTACAATTACAAAGAAAAGAAAAATTTTGTACAATTACAAAGAAAAGAAGTTAAATTTTGTAAAATTACAAAGAATAGAAGATAAATTTTGTACAATTACAAAGAAAAGAAGTTAAATTTTGTACAATTACAAAGAAAAGAAGTTAAATTTTGTACAATTACAAAGAAAAGAAGTTAAATTTTGTACAATTACAAAGAATAGAAGTTAAATTTTGTACAATTACAAAGAAAAGAAGATAAATTTTGTACAATTACAAAGAATAGAAGATAAATTTTGTACAATTACAAAGAAAAGAAGTTAAATTTGTACAATTACAAAGAAAAGAAGTTAAATTTTGTACAATTACAAAAAAAAGAAGGTAAATTTTGTACAATTACAAAGAAAAGAAGATAGCTGTTGTATTGAAACGGAATTGTTCACAATTAATGTAATCATTTTTTTATTTATTTTTTTTTGCATACAGTGGCAGGTAAATACCCGTTTTCTCCATTACTTAACAATTTAGCACGACAGTATATTCTGTTGAAGCTCCTCACCTGTTTTGAATGTTCTGTTCTGTCTCTTCCTGTTCATCACCTTATTTATAAATTATCATAGGCCTTTTCTGGCATTTCAAATCCGATCGAGCAAATTTTAAACAACAAACATGACCACAATCCTGGGATGAACCTACAAGGGTTTTTGCTATAAACTGTTTTGATGATCTCAGTTGTGTTAGAACTTTTTGAAATTTCAAACAAAAATGTACAGGGTTCAGAGTTACGTTCAAATTCTTGTATTGTAAAGGTTTGAATTTTCACGATTTGCGAAAAAGTTTCATGGAAAATGGATTTGATTAGTACAGGAGTCATAAAACAGATAATGGTTTTTTCTAGATTTTATTGTCAAGGAGTCTGATTATAGTGACTGTGTTACATCTTTAAAAACAGCGTGAAAAATTAATATTCTTGATGGAAGTTTATGTTGCAAACCATTAACACAAATACTTATGTGTATAATAAAATTTGAATTTCCACATTTCAATTCTGCAGCTGAAGAGTTAAAAATTTGATTGTCAGTATTTCATTTTTAAATTTTGCATTTTTGTTCGTTGCTCAAAACATACATGTCCACCTTCAACCAAACTTGATAATTGTTACATAGTTACACAATCTATGTAAATCACTTAGTGAACATTTTACCCGTTTGTGACGGTATCAGAATCTGCTGACGACATGACAACTATTTTTTTTGTCTTTAAGTTGTCCGTGGTATGTATAAGTATTGGCATTATGTGAAATATGATGCTTTACGCTTAATGGTTTTTCTGTTCATCGACTTTTTTTATTTCTCTTATATAACTCAGTTTAAACATCATATCATTGTATTTCTTTCGAATTTGAATCTGATTTTAGCTCACCTGGCGTAAAGGGCCAAGTGGCCTATAGAAATACCGCAGCGTCTGTCCGTTGTCCGTCGCCTGTCAACTTTTACTATATTATTCAATTATTCATGAACGACTGAGCAGATTTTAATCAAATTTGGTTCGAAGCGTTTTTAGGAAAAGAGGAACCATTTTTGTGTATTTGGTGAATGTTGGCCACCTGGGGCCTGAGGGACGGGGCCCAGAAGGGGAAACCAGTCAATTTCTTTAAAATCTATCTTGATCTTTGGGAATTGCAGGATATTGTCCAAAATTGGTCTGAAGCATGCTTGGGTGAAGAGAAATCAGTTTTGTATAAACCTTGGGTTTAGGCCACCTGGGGTTAAAGGGGCAATGCCCAATAGGGAAAATCTATCTTGTTCTTCAGGAATTGCAGGATATTGTCTAAACTTTGGCTGAAGCATGCTTGGGTGAAGGGAAATCAGTTTTGTATAAAGCGTGGGTTTTGGCCCCTTGGGGCCAAACAGGCAGGGCCCAACAGGGAAAATCTAATACCATGTAGATTTAGTTTATTTTCATATCATTGCTTTGCATCATTAATAATTCATTTGGATCTTTGGTTTTTTTCAATAGTTGTGATCCCCACTGAATAAATATAGCATTGCTGACCATCAGGAGATAAAACACAACCATAATTTATAATTTGGTCCCACCTTAGGACAGATTATATCTTTTAAGCCATTGATATTACCATTCCTTAACTTAATAGCATTACTTGATATTAAGAGATTAACAACTGATCTCTGTCCCCACCCCTAGGGAATTTGAAGCTGTATCTGTGGGGTGAGGCTCATCAGGGGAAATGTTTTCCTTCTAAAGAAATGTAAAGTTTTAAAATTATTGACCTAATTATCCAGGTGAGGGATACAAGCCAATTGGGCCTCTTTTTAGGAATTAACCACAAAATCAAAACTTTATAGCATTGCTCAATCTAATGTCAGTTCACAGTTCAATAATTTTATGTTTTAACCTCAAGCTTATTGTAAAAGAACTTGTTTTTCATGTTTTTGAATAATGGGTGTTTCAAACGAGAAAAACCTTTAAAGAAACCACTCACTGTGAAGAATGTGCTGACTTTTTATGTCAGATTTTTTGCAGTGAAAAGTTTTCTATCAAAATAATTGTGGAAACACATTTTGAAATTTTTCTAACTTTTAATTATATTACTTGCAAGTCTTTATTTTAATGACTAAGTATGTTTTGGATAACATCTCATTAACATCGTCTTAGAAAGAGTGAATGAATTATTGATAACACATATTAATAGAATGAAAATAGAGTAACCTGTTCCAAATCTTATCTTATAGAAACTGATATCACAGATACTAGCTCTTCTCAAAATAAATTGATCAATTATGCCATGAAAATGTTTTTAGATATGTGTTATAACTTAAAATATATATAGATTTAATTATTTTGTGTCACAAATTTTGATCCTAATATATCAGTACATGGTTGTACCACATAATTTATAATTGTTGTCTCAGTCAACCAGGTGCTTGATTACATTGCATTTGCCTGTACAGACAACAAGAGTCTTTCTGAGTGAGACTACTGATATTTTAGTGTCTATAACATTTGAAGTATTCTAAAATGAGCTGTTATAAAAATAAAAAGGCAGGTTATTTGAAAGCCTGATGTGTTAAAAAGGTTAGTTACTTGTTAAAATAACTGGTTGATGTAGGAATAGCAGACAAGTTGACAACACAATTTTTTCTTATGTTTGGTACTCAAAAATTCCATATATGGAATAGAATTTTCTCTGGTTTTGATATCCTTGAAATTGCATATTTCAATGAAATATTTTTAATGCTTATGGTAGAATACCCCTATCCCCCTCCTTTTATTTGGCGGTGTGGTAGAGTTCAAACTTTTCACTTATAAACTTCATCCCAAATCCTTAAAAAATCCTTATTTTGCTTTTCGAAGACCTTGATAAAAGTCAATATCTTATTGATGTAGCTGAAGACATCAAACACGGCCTTGGTTTCACTAGTTTGTCACACCTGAGTTCATCCTTCTAAAAATGCTGAGGCACCATCACCCATCATTCATAGTGCAAATTTTAACATTTCATCAGGAAAAATGTGTTTTGTGTATTCACATCCTCAACAAGCTTAAATGACTAACCACACCACATTACAATACAAATGTCCTGCAAGCTTTTCAATAATCATAGAAATAGAAACGGCTGATGTTTATTTATAGAAATAAATTTGTGAAAATAGCAAATTCTGAATGGTAATGTTTTGTATTAAATTTTGTTACATTTTCATTACAATTTCAGTTAAAACTGAAAAAAAATAGCATTCTTTTAAATGTTTACACTTTGTTCAAATTTTAAGATAAACTTTTGACATTATGTAGGATATCAATTGAACTTACAAAATTTGAAACATGTTTAGAATATGGACAAAGAGAATTTAAATAAAATGGTTGTTTTGATTTGACAGGTGGTGGGACATCAATGTAAGTGCCTTAGATCTAAGAGCTCCTCTGACCGTGACTCCCACAGTCACTATCCAGGACACGCTTGACTTACTCAACAAGGAAGGATTTGACCAGGTACCAGTGGTCAGTGAGACAGGGTAAGCTATCAACACCAACAGACTGTAACATTGATGATATATTACAGGTAACATAGAGGTAGATTACAGGTAATGTAGAGGTAGATTACAGTTAACATAGAGGTAGATTACAGTTAACATAGAGATAGATTACAGGTAATGTAGAGGTAGATTACAGGTAATGTAGAGGTAGATTACAGTTAACATAGAGGTAGATTACAGTTAACATAGAGGTAGATTACAGGTAATGTAGAGGTAGATTACAGGTAATGTAGAGGTAGATTACAGGTAATGTAGAGGTAGATTACAGGTAATGTAGAGGTAGATTACAGGTAATGTAGAGGTAGATTACAGTTAACATAGAGGTAGATTACAGTTAACATAGAGATAGATTACAGGTAATGTAGAGGTAGATTACAGGTAATGTAGAGGTAGATTACAGGTAATGTAGAGGTAGATTACAGGTGATGTAGAGGTAGATTACAGGTGATGTAGAGGTAGATTACAGGTGATGTAGAGGTAGATTACAGGTAGATTACAGGTAATGTAGAGGTAGATTACAGGTGGTGTAGAGGTAGATTACAGGTAATGTAGAGGTAGATTACAGTTAACATATGTAGGTAGATTACAGGTAACGTAGAGGTAGATTACAGGTAACGTAGAGGTAGATTACAGGTAATGTAGAGGTAGATTACAGGTAATGTAGAGGTAGATTACAGTTAACATAGAGGTAGATTACAGTTAACATAGAGATAGATTACAGGTAATGTAGAGGTAGATTACAGGTAATGTAGAGGTAGATTACAGTTAACATAGAGGTAGATTACAGTTAACATAGAGGTAGATTACAGGTAATGTAGAGGTAGATTACAGGTAATGTAGAGGTAGATTACAGTTAACATAGAGGTAGATTACAGTTAACATAGAGATAGATTACAGGTAATGTAGAGGTAGATTACAGGTAATGTAGAGGTAGATTACAGGTAATGTAGAGGTAGATTACAGGTAATGTAGAGGTAGATTACAGGTAATGTAGAGGTAGATTACAGTTAACATAGAGGTAGATTACAGTTAACATAGAGGTAGATTACAGGTAATGTAGAGGTAGATTACAGGTAATGTAGAGGTAGATTACAGTTAACATAGAGATAGATTACAGGTAATGTAGAGGTAGATTACAGGTAACGTAGAGGTAGATTACAGGTAATGTAGAGGTAGATTACAGGTAATATTGAGATAGATTACAGGTAATGTAGAGGTAGATTACAGGTAATGTAGAGATAGATTACAGGTATGTAGAGGTAGATTACAGGTAATGTACATACAGATTACAGGTAATGTAGAGGTAGATTACAGGTGATGTAGAGGTAGATTACAGGTAATGTAGAGGTAGATTACAGGTAATGTACATACAGATTACAGGTAATGTAGAGGTAGATTACAGGTGATGTAGAGGTAGATTACAGGTAATGTAGAGGTAGATTACAGGTAATGTACATGCAGGTACATTAAAGGAATTAATCAGCTTTATTATACATAGTGTAAAAGTAGATTATTCCACCTACCTGTATTGGTAAACCACATCAGTCTCTATACTGTTGTCTACTTTCAGTGAAATCATGGGGATGGTTACTGTTGGCAACATGATGGCACAAGTTGTCAAGTCAAAGGTCAAACCTGCTGAGCCAATCTCTCGTGTGATGTACAAGCAATTCAAAAAGGTAAGTCTGATTGGATGATCAACAATTATATCCCTTTCATCAGAGTGGTATATAGTAATCACTTAGTCTCTGTGTCTTTGTGTGTGAGTGTGTTTATCCATCTATTCTAGTTTCCATGGTTACCATGTATATGAGATACCTGGTGAATTCGTAAACAAATTTGGTTCGTATTCTTCCTTGAGATTTTGGTCAAGGTTAAAGGTCACCTTTGGCCATTTTGGAAGTAAAAGGTAATATCCTGAACGTCAGAACAGATTTTGTTAAGATTCACACCAATGTATCACACCACTAAACTCTACACCTATGTGAACCCCTACTCACTTTGTTGTCCCCTGCCCAACATAGTTGGTGGGGGATATTCAAATGGGTTCCATCTGTCTGTCCTTACATCAATCCAGATGCTGCTTTCCGTATGATATCTTTTGAAGGACTGGTCGGATTTTGATGAAACTTGGTTGGTAACCTTGATATCTTAACTCTTTGCCCAAGCTTGATTAACAGTGAATTCAACACATATTTAATGAGGCTGCTGTGACCTGATTGACTGATTTCATTAGTCACTCTATGGGAAATCTTTCTGCACATTATTTTATGATGGAATAATAAGATTGTTTTGGTACACTTGCTTTATAGATTTATTATCTTAATTCCTGGTTCAAGTTTGGTTATCGGCAAATTCTGTGCAAGTTTAATGAGGCTGCTGTGATCTGATTGGCTGAAATCTTTCAGCACCTTTACTGAATGTTTTCTGCGTATTATCTTTTTAAAGAACAAATGAATTTTTGATGTGATTTGCTTGGTAAACTCATTACATAATCTCCTCACTCAAATTTGATCAACCAGAGAAATGGTGCTCTTACCTGATTGGCTGTTTTCTTGAAACGGTCTTGAGGATCGCATTCCACAACTCTTTCAAAGGAATGATCATATTTTTTAAAAGACTTGCGTAGCAGACTTTGTATCTTAACCACTCTCTTAAGTTTGATTATCAGCTAATTCCACAAATATCTTATGAGGCAGCTGGGACCTGAATGGCTGATTGCTTTGCACAGAATATCTTCTGAAGTAATATATAAGAGACCATTAAAAGACTATAAACATATCTCTTACCAATTCGGAAATTTAGACACCACACAATCGTGGAAGGAGAATAAGTATAATAATGATAAGAAATGGAACAATAACAATAGATCTTTTCACCAGTTGGTCAAAAGCCCTAATAAGCCCATGATAGTGAATCTCCAAAATGTTTTTAGAAGTCTAATGTTCAAAGAGATATTGTGCTACCACCAGTTATGATTTGTTTTAGTGACAGTATCTTTCTTACAATTTTATCTATCTGATTATTAGATGCTGTATTGTATTTTATTGTGTATAAACCATTTCACTGTCATACTTGAGAGGTAATAGAATCATTGATTGATCCAGCATCACTGAAATTAAGTGACAATCTATCATTACATTGGGTAAAAGAAGGGAATATAAAGGTATAAGCTGATTTTAATATTTACAGTATTATGTTACAAAATTGTTATTACATTGATTACTTTTAACAGAATTTTAAACTTAACATAAAAAATAAATGGTTTCAGTACTTTAGTTTTCCATACATATTGCTCACGTTAAATGTATATATTTTACAAATGAACATGGGTGGGGATCACAATGACGTTTGAATATTATCAGGTCAAGAGTTGTGATGATGGATTGATATGTATAATTTCAACAAAACTGATTATTGACATATTTGTGTGCAGGTGAAGATGGACATCTCTCTTGGTCAGCTGTCTCGCATGTTGGACACCGATCACTTCGTCTTGGTAGTTCATGATCAGCGTCAGTGTACGTACAAATCTATGGACGGTGAGTCCTGTCTTCTCGTCCAAAATCATAACCTGGCTTCTTAGATTTCTATAGTCTATGGTTCTCTACTGTGGGTATGGAAGTAGATTCTGACACAGCCTCAGGTATCTTGTGAGAAATAGATTCTGACACTGCCACAGGTACCTTGTGAGAAATAGATTCTGACACACCCACTTGTACCTTGTGAGAAATAGATTCTGACACAGCCACAGATACCTTGTGAGAAATAGATTCTGACAAAGCCACAGATACCTTGTGGGAAATAGATTCTGACATAGCCACAGATTCCTTGTGAGAAATAGATTCTGACACAGCCACAGGCACCTTGTGAGAAATAGATTCTGACACAGTCATAGGTACCTTGTGAGAAATAGATTCTGACACAGCCACAGGTACCTTGTGGGAAATAGATTCTGACACAGTCTCAGATACCTTATGAGAAATAGATTCTGACACAGCCATAGGTACCTTGTGAGAAATAGATTCTGACACAGTCACAGGTACCTTGTGAGAAATAGATTCTGACACAGTCTCAGATACCTTATAAGAAATAGATTCTGACACAGCCATAGGTTCCTTGTTAGAAATAGATTCTGACACAGTCACAGGTACCTTATGAGAAATAGATTCTCTCACAGCCACAGGTCTCTTGTGAGAAATAGATTCTGACAGTCACAGATACCTTGTGAGAAATAGATTCTGACACAGCCACAGGTACCTTGTGAGAAATAGATTCTGACACAAGCACATGTACCTTGTGAGAAATAGATTCTGACACAATCACACGTACCTTGTGAGAAATAGATTCTGACACAGTCACAGATTCCTGATGAAAACCTATCTTTCCCTTTCTTCTCTGCTAATTAATCACTTTCAACATTTTGCAGAAAAAAGTAGGGGTTGTTTATTATGATTTTGCATCATTTTATGTAAACTGATATTAGTAGATGTACCACATCAGTCATATACTACCATTAATGTTAAAGAGATGTGAGCAGCACAGTATTTCTAAGAAGTCAGGCATGTTTTGGATGTGAAAGACAGGATGATGTTTATATGTTCTTAATGTTATTGTCAAAGTTCAGTAAAGTGACCTCGGATACCTTGTCTTACATGGTATAACAGGTTTACTTTGTTAAATAAATTTTATCATTGCTTGTTTGTTTGTTTGTTTGCAAAATCTACCCAAATTCAGTCCAATGACTTGCAATTGATAACCCTACTTCCTGCATTTTGTGAATTTTTTTTTTTTTTTTTTTTTACAAAAAATCAAAATTCTTTATTACCTTCCTGTAAATATATTTGAGTGTAACAAAATAAACATCATAAGACACTTTGGTTGTAGATGCCTGAAGCAAACTCCCCCCAGGTTAGTTAAGACACTTTGGTTGTATACACCTGAAGCAAACTCCCCCCAAGTTAGTTAGACACTTTGGTTGTACACACCTGAAGCAAACTCCCCCCAGGATAGTTAAGACACTTTGGTTGTAGACACCTGAAGCAAACTCCCCCCAGGTTAGTTAAGACACTTTGGATGTACATGCCTGAAGCAAACTCCCCCCAGGTTAGTTAAGACACTTTGGTTGTACACACCTGAAGCAAACTCCCCCCAGGATAGTTAAGACACTTTGGTTGTAGACACCTGAAGCAAACTCCCCCCAGGTTAGTTAAGACACTTTGGTTGTAGACACCTGAAGCAAACTCCCCCCAGGTTAGTTAAGACACTTTGGTTGTAGACACCTGAAACAAACTCCCCCCAGGTTAGTTAAGACACTTTGGTTGTATACACCTGAAGCAAACTCCCCCCAGGTTAGTTAAGACAGTTATTATAAAATCCATATTATTTTGATAAATATGGTGAGATTTTATATTTCGTTTCGTCCACAGATGAAGGACCAAATAAAATGTCAAAGAAACAGATGATTTTCGGCATAGCAACCCGGATCGATCTTCTGAACTTCATCACTAAGCAACACACCCAGGACATGGAAACCTAAAGAGATTACACCAACTTTAGAATGTTTGTAGAGTTTGTGAGGAATTATGAGGATTTCACTTTACAAAATTCATGAATTAAATTTACCATGTTTGAAAAAAAAAATGGTTACAGAATTTGATAGGATAGTAACAGAATGTGATAGGGTACCAGTGCAAAATCTAGCTGTTTAAGGCTCAATTTCACATGAACACTTGGTCAAATACAGCAAGTCTTTTTATTTTCTCTTTCTTTTGAAGGAAATCTATTTTTTGCTTATTTTCATTGATGAATAAGATTGCAAAAAAAAAAAAAAAATTATTACATAAGATAAAACTACAATCTGTGTTGTGATTTCCATTCATCCATTTTGCTTCAAGCTTTTCCTACACCTGCAAAAATTTGAACCTTAAAAAATAGCAATATTTACAATATATGAATAAGGTATTTTGTGAATTAAACATGCAATATTTTATGTCTATAGGTTAAAGTATAGAACAGATTGTATTTTTAACATCTGCTGCTTTATCAGTTCATTCATTACAAAATATGTGTGTATGTTGCTTAAACTGTGATTACGATGTATGGATAAACAGTTTATTGCAGTTTTGAGTAAATATTACAGCTGAGGGTTTAAATTTTTGGAGTGGATATGCTGCATGATTAACCAAAAGATTTTGATGTGGACATAATGAACGGTTTCCATGGTTACATGACTGATTACAATAAGTAATCACCTGTATTTATCGTTGAGTTTATTTGTGATTTTTGATTTTTGATTTTAGAATGTTACATGACATTTAGAAAAATATTCAATATGATCTGTGATTGATACATTGTAAGCCAATTAAAAAATTCTGTATTGGCTTCAAATTTTTGGGGATTTTTGCATCAAAACCAATTCACTGCATTCTATTTCCACAAAACAGACTATAACATGCTATAATCATGGTATTTCTATTCCTGTGTTAATTTGCAGTGAATAGGTTGATTTGTTTTGATAGTAAAATTCATGAAGGTAAATTATGTATGAAAAAAATTGGTTTCCGTATATTAATTTTAAGGGCTGATTTTGTGACAGAGGAAAATTTCCGTGTGAAGAATCTCGATGTTTTCTAATCACAATGACAGTAATATCACCAGCCTATATATCATTTATACTTCCTCAAATGACACTTTGTAGTTTTAATACGCAGCCAAAGGCGGTCGTATATTGGCGTCATCTTCTCCGTCTGTCCGTCCCTATGTCCTGCCATCCATTTCTTGTGAATGCAACTTCTCCTAAACTAATCATCAGATTTTCATGTAACTTGCTCAATGTCACTACTACAATGGGTAGATGTGCATGAAGGGGCGATTTTACGGTTCACTGATTTTTGAAAGATTTATGCCATTTTATCTTTATCTTCATATTTTGTGGTGGCGTATATTGTGTCCACGGCACTCTTGTTAAATAATTAATCTTCTAGATCCCAAAACATTTCATGTATTTAATTTTTGTTACTCGTGATAATAACATCCCGTTTTGTAGACCTATAATCACTGTTTGTACCAGGGACAGTAAGTTTATCTATCCTGGTAGGGATTTAACCCTGTTAATAGAGCATATCTATATAAGTACATCATATTCCAGCCTGACATTCTAGTAATCATTATGTAACCTTAGTATTAGCCACAATATACCACTCGGCTAGATGGAACTTCTCATAGTTTGATTGGTTAAGCATCGGACTAGTAAACCAGGGGTCCCAGGTTCGAATCCTATTAGAGGCATTGAAATAGATAATGAGATCTGATACATTGGCACCCTTGTGTTGTATCGCTGTAACCCCTGGCAACACAAGGACAAGTAAATTCCTGAAAGGATAGTATGTGACCCTGGTAAACTATAGCCACAATATACCACTTGGCTAGAGAGAACTAATTTAAAGGTTCATTAGTTGATCATGCGACCAGTAAGCAAGACGTGCAATGTTTGAAACCTAACAGAGGCATTGCTGTTGATAATGACCTCTGTTGCAATAGTAAATAATTATGTACAACACAAGTGTTTGTATATGAATGCTATTGTTCTATGGGAAATAAGACATTGGCATTGAATTTAACAATGCAAGAGTTCCACTAAAGGGAGATAATTAAAAAATAAAATGTAAATAATAGATTTATCAGTTTACATGTGTTGGCTTATACAGTGTCACTGAAATATTACTCCATCTTAAGCTATATATTATTGATATGTTTTTCTTTCCTCATTATACCAAGCTCTTCAGTCATTTGAAATGGTTAGTCAAATAACTGTTCATGAATTGACAATTATTTCACAAATGTACAGATTGTGATTCAGAGTCTGTATGTGGGATGATCACTGCTCCAAAAATCATCAGTTTCTTCTAATGTGGTTAAGTTGTAAACAATCATATTACTTAGAGGTTTATTTTTTTATATTTAATGTTATCATCAAATTGTTTGTAGTGTAATTGATTGTCAATCCTGGTTCACTACTTTAAGTTTCATTTTGGTCCCTGGTTATGTATATAATTTGGATTTCTTTTCTAATCAAAATAACTTCTGGACGTTCAGAACCATCTTTGGTATTTGAAAATCATATTTAAGACAATTTGTATGAAGAAAAACCAATGCCTTTAGAAAGGTTTATGCTGGATTACAATTTTTTTTTTTTTTTTTCAAATCGGAAATAATCTGTACACTTGTTTTTATCACATTTAATATTTTAAAGTTTATGGCACTTATGATTTATTTTCTTATTATTTACTTTATTTGACATAATTAGAAAACAAATAAATTATTGAGCTGTTTAGGGTCCTAGGCCTTTTTTCCTTACTCATGTATATGTTTGAATCTCATGTATCTGATACTGTTTAAGTATGGATATATACGCATAAATTTTTTATAATTTTTGTCGTGATTTCATTTTGAACAATAAATAAAATTTTCTGTTTTTGATGAAATTATATCTTTTAGAATCTCGTTATTTTGATTTATTTTGAAGTGTCAACTTTGTACTTTTCAACATGTTTTTTGGGTGACAAAGTGTTTAGAATGCTGTTTATACTGTCTGTTGCATATTATGTTATAATCTAAACATATTTTTGTTCATCTTTTGGGGTCTAGAGAAATACAAGGATAAAATTATCAGAATTCATTGGAAATAAAATATATCATATTACTTACTGTGAGTGTGATGTGTCGTTTATTTCATATTTTCCTGGTATAATATAAAAGTTCTTTTTTGACAAAGTTCTCCAAATTTCAGTTTCCCTTGGTCTCCAGTTTTGCCCCGTAGATTTTGAGACTTGACAAAAAAAATGAATATCTGACTTTGTCTGCCAATGGAAGATTGCTATTTTCTTAGTACAAATGGACTTTGTTTTTTAAAATCACACACAGGTTGCTCTTTCCCACCTTATGTTGTCCATTCAGACTAGAAACACAAATGGATGACAGGAGTCCGCCTCGCATTCTGACATAAGAGTTTGGTAAGTAAGTTGGTACTGAGAGGGAGTAAACGGTCTATTTCCCCCTGTCCGAGTTGGATTTTTTAAAAATTGTACACGTATGTTTCCTTTGTTCATTGAACCGTTGAATAATAATTTCACTAGTATATTCCCCTGATATACTGATTACTTCAAATCCCTCGCTGGACTTCCACATTTGGGCATTGTGTTTTGTGATTTGAAGGTCACCTCCGTATCACACCTGTATCACGATTAAGGGCTAATTTTTATACAGCGGCGTAGCTTCCATAGAAAGAAAAAGCCCGTGCTTACACATAAAAAAATCCGTGCATAGAGTATGTCGGACAAAATTACAAAACAAAGGCTGAAAATAAATATCTAATATTTTTGATAAATAAAAAACTAGGCCTAGTGCATTGCATTCCGGAACTTTATACACGGCATACTATTCTACTTCTTACTATCATTTCAACGTTTCCTATTTTAATGTTAATGTGCACATTTTCAAAATGGAGAAGGCTTCTGGATTACAGACGTCGATCGACAAGTTTTTCAAACAAAATAACGTCTCTTAAGGAAACGAAACGAATTCCCAACCCACAGTCCATATTAGTATACATTTGCTTGACTCTAATTGTGATTAATGTGTTGAGACGGTCCTCCCGTATGATGTTCACATGTTATGATGAATTTAATTTTAATTTTTCAAATTAAAAGGGCTCTTCTTAACACGTATTTTATGGCAGTAAGTAAACGATAGAAAGAAAACAAAGGAAAGATGGATAATGCAGATATATAAGTCTGCAGGAAGTAAAATAAATTATATTGTCAGTAAAATTTCTCACGGGTAATATTTATTGGTGTATTTGTTTATTTATTTAATGCTTATAAATGTTGTCCTCGGTTCAGTTATTTTAAGTGATTTTAAGCACTTTATTACGGTAAGCCTTTACAGGTGTGGTGACGGACGTCCAGAGAATTTTAGAGGTGTTGCGTGCCGGATGTACCCCTCAGGATCCGCATATGGGTCTGAGTAGTAACCACCAGCTGCAACAAGGAGACCCCGCCCCAAATAACACTAGCTGTTAACAGGACGATAAAACGAGGAAAGTATGAAATTACGCTTGTTCTATACAAGCACCCAATATGGATGCGTATATCGCTGATCAGAAGAGATAACGTAATAGAGCCACAGACCCTATTTATAAACGTATTTGGGCCATACGAAATGGTTTCCAATTTGATCCAGATGTCCGGCGTGAGAATCCAGTGCTTTAACAACTGAACCAAAGAAGCGCGCTCTATCACCCGAGTGATGAATACCTTATTTCATACTAGGTTTACTTATGTGCATATGCCAGGAATCTGGAAAAAAGGTAAAGGTAGGATTATATACGGTTAATTTTACTGATATAAAAGTTTTTTACCAGAGACTTTCGTGTACTATCAATGATTATCATATTCGTTATCAACCAAGTTCAGGTATACAACATTCGTCCGTCTCCATATGCACTCGGGTGCGGGGTACACGACCTTTCTGTACTGAATGGATGTTCGCGTTGTTCTCATTAAACGACCTTATTCGATGATTTTCCACTAGACATACATTTTTAATAAGATACAGTACATCCAATAAATAAATTCAACTGCATCATACAGCTGTTTCGTCCATATAGGACTCGTCAGCGATACTACATCATACAGCTGTTTCGTCTATATATGACTCGCCAGCGATGCTACATAATACAGATGTTTCGTCCATATTGGACTCGTCAGCGATGCTACATCATACAGGTGTTTCGTCCATCTAGGACTCGACATCGATGCTACATCATACAGGTGTTTCGTCCATATAGGACTCGTCAGCGATGATACATCATACAGATGTTTCGTCCATATAGGACTGGTCAGTGATGCTACATCATACAGCTGTTTCGTCTATATATGACTCGCCAGCGATGCTACATAATACAGATGTTTCGTCCATATTGGACTCGTCAGCGATGCTACATCATACAGAGGTTTTGTCCATAAAGGACTCGTCAGCGATGCTACATCATACAGATGTTTCGTTCATATAGGACTCGTCAGTGATGCTACATTATACAGATGTTTCGTCCATATAGGACTCGTCAGCGATGCTACATCATACAGCTGTTTCGTCCATATAGGACTCGTCAGTGATGCTACATCATACAGATGTTTCGTCCATATAGGACTCGTCAGTGATGCTACATCATACAGATGTTTCGTCCATATAGGACTCGTCAGTGATGCTACATCATACAGATGTTTCGTCCATATAGGACTCGTCAGTGATGCTACATCATACAAATGTTTCGTCCATATAGGACTCGTCAGTGATGCTACATTATACAGCTGTTTCGTCATTCTAGGACACGTCAGTGATGCTACACCATACAGATGTTTCCTCCATATAGGACTCGTCAGTGATGCTACATCATACAGATGTTTCGTCCATATAGGACTCGTCAGTGATGCTACATCATACAGATGTTTCGTCTATATATGACTCGTCAGTGATACTACACCAAACAGCTGTTTCGTCCTTCTAGGACTAGTCAGTGATGCTACACTATAGAGCTGTTTCGTTCTTCTAGGACTCGTCAGCGATACTACACCATACAGATGTTTCGTCCATATAGGACCCGTCAGCGATGCTACGAGTTTGAATGGTTGAAACCTAGGAGGCGACTGAGAACAATCGAAATCAGTCGACATGTATGTAAAAAACCAGACGTGGATAGCAACTTACCTCTAAACCCAATAAACTTCTCGTGAATTAATATTGAAAAAATACCAAAAGAACGTTAACAATTATTCTGAACTGAACGAAATAAAACCTGTATGTTTACGATTTAATTTTGATTTACCTCCGAAACACAGACAACTTTAATTATGCCATACGATAAGATGAATGTTTTAATAATCTTTTGAAAAGTATCTGAATATACATGAATTTGCTATCTTCCATATATAAGAGTTGTCTTTATCTAACACCTGCATTTCTAAAAAATAAAACAACTCTTCCCGGGAATCCGGAATAGGGTTATAAATAATTATAGAGATTTTATCTAAATGTTTGAAGTCTTGCTTTCTTGCGTTTTTTCCCCTTGTATACGATACACCTCCATTTTAATTACACAATTAAATATATACAAAACATCACCAGACCGAGTTATTGCCAAATTAATGTTACGAGAAATAAAAAAACAACTCAGGTGTTTAACTTGTCTATCGTTTACAATCCATAGCTTCCCATCACAAGACTCAAAAAGTTTAATTTAGAAAAAAACTCACACACATATATAAACATAAAGATGTAAATTTATCACCGTGGAAACATAAAATTTGTGTGCTTAAGCTTACTTTTAATAAATTGTGTTGTAAATTCATTATCAAACATCGTGGATGCTTACTGCCATCTTATACTGATAATCTTCGTCATCGAACCAAAATGAACAAAAAAAAACCCATTAAACTTTGTCGTATTTACCATGTGATAAAATAGCCCCTACTGCATTTTTATAAATATTGATTATATCTTGTTTTTAATAAATAGAAATGTATTGACCATATCCATCTGTTGTCCCCACCTGAATTCGAAATCAAATCCTTTGGACACTCCAAGACCTTTTAGAAACCTGACATATACCTCAAACAGCAAAACCAGTGGGTAAAGTTTTCTATCAAATTAGATGCTAATCAAGATGATTTCTAGTTCCTTATTGTTAAATTTCCATTTCTAGATAACAACAACCTACTTTCCCATCAAACGGTTTTGCATGTCAATGAAGATTCGATATAAAGAGTCTGTTCCGAGTAACTTACAACACAGGAACTATCAAATTTACAAAGAACTTCTATTACTTTTTTCTTTGACCTAGAATTTGCTAAAATTATTCGCACGCTAACACAATCCCATAGTGATAATGTGATAATGTGAGGACACGATTCAAAAAACAAAGGTCGACATACTGAACAGGTACAACGGTGGATTTAATAACCAATATAATCTTGATGTTGACGTAAATCCTTGGAATGCTTTAGTATGTATTGTATTGTATTGCTTCAATGAATAATAGATAAATACTTCGAATTCATAAAACGCTTACCACATCGATAAAAGTTAGCTCTAAAAGACATGTTGGTCATCTTACGTGTTCTGAAATGAAGGGCAGGTAAAACATAATGTGTGTGCATGATTGTCTATTTAAATACTAGCCTGTCTCCATGTTTGCAACACGCAGTTATTATTAGTAACAAACCTACAGTAAGGACATTTCACAAAAGGTCAAGGACAATTAAAACAGTTCGTATCAGTGTAGAAGGGTGACATATTAATGTATTTTTTAAAACTACATGCAAAAACATTTGAGACGGCTGTAATGTATTGTTAATGTGACTAGATATATAATAATGACCGCCGATATGATTGTTTCTTTCTACAGATGTAAAAAAATAAAATACTTACCACAGTGCTTCAATTTGGATGTTTACAATGCGAACTGGCAATAAAATGTTTCTGAAAATTGAAGAACCAAACGTGAAATAAATAAATAAATAAATGAATTAATAAATTAATTAATAAATAAATAAATTAATTAAATTAATAAATCCTTTTGTTTACAGAATAATCAATCCTTACAGCAAAGTGTCATTTATATATATATATATATATATTAGTGTCATTTA